GCGAGAATTTTTAAGAAATGAATTTAATGGTCTCTGATTTTCAGCAGCATGGGGAAGGCTGCGCCTATAAAAATTCAAATAACCCAAGAATCGTTACAACTCCATAACTATTTTTGGTCTAGAATATTCGTTAATAGCTTTAACTTTCTCGAGAGTAGGCTTGATTCTATTTCGATCAATGGTGTGTCTAAGAAATTCAATCTCATAAAGGCCAAATTCACATTTACTGATATTTAATCGGAGGTAAGTATTAGAAAGGCGTTGGAAAACCTCTCTCAAATGCCTCTGGTGTTCCTCCAAATCGGAAGATGCTATCAAGATATCATCAATGTACGCGAAACAAAAGTTGAGATCTCCAAGGAATTGATTTAAATAGCGTTGAAACGTCTGACTCGCGTTTCTAATGCCAAAGGTCATCACTGTAAACTCAAAAAGTCCAACGGGTGTTATTACAGAAGTATTTAGGATGTCTTCTTTTGCGATTGGAATTTGGTTATAATTATGCCATAAAAAGATTTGTAAGGGTTACGAGATCTAATTGATAGCGCGTCAAATCTTGATGTTAATTCCTCAAGCTTACTCAAAATGTCAGAATTGGTTGAAATTGCAGAGACATTCACCTCGGAAGATTTGTATGAAACTATTCGATCCGCCATAGTGGCCAAACGACCAAGATCGTTTGTGGAAACAAAAACGAAACCTCGATCAGCCATTTCGAGAAAAAATTATTCGAGAAAAAAATTATTCGACAAAAAAAATCAAGTTTCAACAATTTGAAGTTAAATTTTAAAAAAAATTAAAAAAGATTTAACAAATCTGTTTAGAATTTCAATTATTTTTTATTTGTATTAAAAATTTACATTAAAAACGAAATAATTCTATTTGCTCCTGAATTAAGATTATCACAAGTACACACTTGTATCGTGTTCCCTTTCAAGATTCAGGACCTGCGCAATGATAAAAATAAAAGGATAGAGATTTCCGCTTTACTGCTTTGAGAGAACATGTGCTCGAGTTACAAATTATAAAATCCGTGAATAAATATTCAATCAATTTACCTCGGTAAACTAAATCTTCCTTGTTAATAATTACAATAAATTCTTTGTTAAAGTGTAAATATATTTTAGTGAAAATTAAGTTAAAATAAACGAAGTTATATATGAGGCATTATTCCTGAACTGCCCCAAAAATAAAAAAAAGTTCTTGGATTTCCTTTATACTTTGGAAATATGTTACCCTAGTAGGTACAGGTTACTACACCAATTTACAGGTCCAACCCCCCACCCCAATCAAAAGGGTGGGGGGTTGAAATTTCAGCCTAAACTCGAACATGCATTCTTTAAACATTTGTAGTTTCTACTTAAATTATTCAATTAAAAAAAGTAAGTAGTGTTTTAGAAATGTTTTTTTGTGTACTTTTAAAATATTTTATTTATATAATAAAAAAAAATTTTTTTTGCAAAATTTTTTTAAAATAAATAGTTTTTTGCAATTTTGTGCAAGTTCGGTAGTTTTTATTTTCTTTTTAATAATCTCAAATGAAAGCTTGGGAATTCCCCTAAAAGAAGATATAAGTCTGAAAATGGGCCGAAACAATTTGCCAAAGATATAGTGTAATAAGTAAAATTTGTCCGTCCGCTCGCGCACTCCAGCGCGATGAACAGTGGGATTTTTTTTCAACTTACTATTGAAAATTGTCTAGAAACTACAAATTTTATCGGATGTTGATGTTCTTGATTTAAAATTACTAAGAGATCCATCAAAGTCGATTTTTGAATTTTTAATTGTTTATTTTTTTCTTGTTACTCAAAAATTTGACAAATTACAATATTTTTAGAAAAAATCATGTTAGTTTTTTTATTTTTCCATTACACATGATCGAAATCAATTTAAATTAGTCTAGTATGACCACCGGACAATTAATAAAACATAATACAATTTATTTAAATTGTTGCAAACAATGTTAATTAACAAATAGATTACTTCGGACCTTCTTCATAAAAAAAATTGGTTTTTTTGCAGACAAGTTTAAATTTATGTCTAATTTAGTAAAAAACTATTTTACAGTTAAAAATTATCATTAATATTAACAATTATATAAACAATAATTAACTTCCTTTGGTATTTGTAAACATTTTCGTCATTTTTTAAACTTTAAATATTTATATCATATGTACATTCTTTCAAAAACTTAAAAAATTTATTTGCTTAAACAATTACATTTGTTATAAACAAATTTTTCATTTTTAAACAAATAATTATCTTTTTTCATCAAACAAAATTTTTTCCTTTTTTATATTTACTATCATAAAAAAGAACTCCTTAATGAAATGGGAATACTATAAATTATTCATTTAATTTTAATAAACATTATAAGTTAAGAAATATTTATATTTTTAATGAAGTAAACCATTATTCAGTTAAAACAGTTTACATTTAAATGCATATAAATAAATATATTTTTTCTGTGAAAAAAGAACAAAGTTAAATATTTGTTAACTTATAATGTTTATTAAAATTAAATGAATAATTTATAGTATTCCCATTTCATTAAGGAGTTCTTTTTTATGATAGTAAATATAAAAAAGGAAAAAATTTTGTTTGATGAAAAAAGATAATTATTTGTTTAAAAATGAAAAATTTGTTTATAACAAATGTAATTGTTTAAGCAAATAAATTTTTTAAGTTTTTGAAAGAATGTACATATGATATAAATATTTAAAGTTTAAAAAATGACGAAAATGTTTACAAATACCAAAGGAAGTTAATTATTGTTTATATAATTGTTAATATTAATGATAATTTTTAACTGTAAAATAGTTTTTTACTAAATTAGACATAAATTTAAACTTGTCTGCAAAAAAACCAATTTTTTTTATGAAGAAGGTCCGAAGTAATCTATTTATTAATTAACATTGTTTGCAACAATTTAAATAAATTGTATTATGTTTTATTAATTGTCCGGTGGTCATACTAGACTAATTTAAATTGATTTCGATCATGTGTAATGGAAAAATAAAAAAACTAACATGATTTTTTCTAAAAATATTGTAATTTGTCAAATTTTTGAGTAACAAGAAAAAAATAAACAATTAAAAATTCAAAAATCGACTTTGATGGATCTCTTAGTAATTTTAAATCAAGAACATCAACATCCGATAAAATTTGTAGTTTCTAGACAATTTTCAATAGTAAGTTGAAAAAAAATCCCACTGTTCATCGCGCTGGAGTGCGCGAGCGGACGGACAAATTTTACTTATTACACTATATCTTTGGCAAATTGTTTCGGCCCATTTTCAGACTTATATCTTCTTTTAGGGGAATTCCCAAGCTTTCATTTGAGATTATTAAAAAGAAAATAAAAACTACCGAACTTGCACAAAATTGCAAAAAACTATTTATTTTAAAAAATTTTTGCAAAAAAAATTTTTTTTTATTATATAAATAAAATATTTTAAAAGTTCACAAAAAAACATTTCTAAAACACTACTTACTTTTTTTAATTGAATAATTTAAGTAGAAACTACAAATGTTTAAAGAATGCATGTTCGAGTTTAGGCTGAAATTTCAACCCCCCACCCTTTTGATTGAAGTGGGGGGTTGGACCTGTAAATTGGTGTAGTAACTTGTACCTACTAGGGTAACATATTTCCAAAGTATAAAGGAAATCCAAGAACTTTTTTTTATTTTTGGGGCAGTTCAGGAATAATGCCTCATATATTGTGAAAATTGACTTGTTTTCATTTCCCATGTGCTCAACACTTTCAAATATTAAAACTTACCGAAATTTACAATTGACAAAATATACCTTTTAACAAAAAATCAATACATAAAATTGGTCCTTCGAGCCGGATTATTTTCGACTTTTTCCGATTTTCACGTTATGCTTTATACAACACGTGGTGATAACAAATGCTTAATATACCTGGTGATCCTCAAGAATGCTACTAAAGGCGAAATGCACAGCAAGTATAATAATTGATGTAAAGTTCTCTGTATGCTGAATTAATGTAAGTACTTCTCTTAAATTACTTTGAGCAGTGAACTTCAACAATTAAGTAAATCAGCTAATCACGTTTTCGCTAAATCTAAGTAACTGTTAAAATTGCTTCTAAATTTTTAAAAATTATTTTGCTATTAGCTTAACGATTTTCGAAACTTACAATCTCTTGAGCAATAATTCTTACACCCTACCTTGTAAGTGCATCAAACTGCATTTGGGGAATAGTAGAGTACTCACATGTAGCTTTCAAGGTTTAACTACTCCTTTAAAATCATATTGCTCAGTATTGTAGTTATATTTCTTTAAAAACAAAAATTGTAATATATCTTTATAGATATTGATTTATATAACTAATAAAATTCGCTAAGCTTTAATTATCGCCTTATTACTAACGCGTAGACGCTTTAATCAATAAGAGTACTTACTACTTGTCTTTTTTAAGCTCTTCACTGGTGTACAATATTCGAAATGGCGGAAATGAAGGAGCAGGAGGCACTTGCTCAATTTATTACGAAACTATACCCGAAGATTATGAGTTCAGTGCGTGGGAAAGAGAATCCAGTAAATTACCTGCAAGCTCGCTTACAAAATCTGGAAGATTACTGGAAGGATTTTTATAATAATCATTGGAAATTGGTAGCAAAGCCATGTTATGCAGATACAGATTATTTCACAAAATCTCAATTTGATGTTGTCGAGGAGGAGTATATAGTAACTAAAGCTTTCATCAACCGTGAAATCATCAAGCTCACCACACCTAAAAAGTCAACATCAGAAGAAGCTCCTATTCAAGGTAAAATTGTTAATGAAACCAATTTTAAACATTTACCTGCATTATCCCTGCCTAAATTCTCTGGTAATCAACTAGAGTGGGAAACATTTCGTGACTTATTCACAGCCATGGTAGACAAATCCCTACTCTCTGACTAATTATCTCGAAGCTTGGACGATGCTTGTCAAGCGTTATGATAATAAACGAATTCTATTATCAGCACATATGCGCAAACTAATCTCTTGCCCGTCAGCGTCCAAAAGGTCTGTTGACGAAATCTTACGACTGCTAGACACAACTAATGAATCTATTCGAGCTTTCTCAAATATGAACCGACCAGTTGACCTCTGGGACGACTGGTTTGTACATATCCTCGCAAACAAATTAGACCCAGTTACCAGAGAAGAATGGGAATCTTCTCTCAAGGACTCTGATGAGTTTCCAATGTACGATGACCTTTCTTCCTTTCTCGAAAACACTGTCCGAGCCTTAGAAGCCTCTTACCCAACTGAGAACCCTCTTAAGACTCAAAATACAGCAAAATCTAAATCTCAAAGCAATTCTTCTAATTCAAAACCCAAGAAATCACAAATTTCAGTCGGTCACTCACTGACTGAATCAAAGCCTAAATCAAACTCTTGTTCTCTTTGTCAAGCCTCTCACTTTTTATCCTACTGCCCACAATTTAAAAAACTAAAGGTTGCTCAACGCTGTGAACAGGTCCAAAGCTTAGGACTTTGTCACAACTGTCTGCGAGGTAACCACAAAATTGATGACTGTTCATCAACCAAGAGATGTTTTGTGTGCTCTGAAAAACATCATACCTTTCTTCATGATGAAGGAGGACACACAAAATCTGATACTTCAAAACCATCCTCTTCACATTCTTCTGAACAAGCAGTTTGTAACGCATCTTACCTTTCTAACCATCTTTCTCATCCAATCGATAGTCAGTCAAGGGGTATCTTCGCAACTGCTTATATTAAACTAACCTCACTCAAGGATAAATCAATCGTTGTAAAAGCCTTTCTTGATTCTGGTTCTGAACGAACACTCGTAACTGAACGAGTTGTTCAATTTCTTAAATTACCTAAGCAGAAATGTGACGTCTCTCTGAAGGGTATTGGTAACTCCCCATTGGGTAACTCAAATTACAAGGTTGATCTTTTGCTGAATTCACCGAAAGATCCTGATTTCCAGCTGCCAATCAATGCTCTAGTTTTAAAATCACTCATTCAACTTTTACCAAAAGGAAGGCCTAAGCATAGCAACTGGTCACATCTTGCTGATTTAGATCTTGCCGATCCCAACTACTACAATCAGGAACCTGTCGACTGCGTGATAGGTATCGATCTTCTTGGTCACACTTTACTCCCTGGATTAAAACAAGGTCCCTTAAATAGCCCTACCGGCCTTCTAACAGCTTTTGGTTGGATAATCTTTGGTCGATCTCTCACTCAATCTTCTGATTCACAAAATTGTTCCACACTACAAGTGGAAAAAAAAGATTCGTTAAATAAATTGCTTCGTGACTTTTGGGAACTTGAAGAACTCCCCAAGCAAACTTTTCTAACAAAAGATGAATTGGATTGCGAAAATACTTTCAAGAACACTCATTACCGAAATGAATTGGGCCAATATACTGTTCGCTTGCCAGTGTCTATTTCACCTGATCAGTTAGGGGAATCAAGAGAACAAGTGGTTTCCATGTTTCTTCGAAGTGAAAAACAATATTCAAAAAATCCGATCGCTAAAACTAAATATAATGATTTCATGCGTCAATACATCGAAGACACACACATGAGACCTGTTAATGAAAATGACTCTAAAGCCCCATTCATCAATTACATTCCGCATCACGTAATAACGAAAGCCAACGATCCTTCTTTAAAAATCAGAGTAGTCTTTAACGGCTCCTTTTTTACCTTATCAGGATTATCCTTAAATGACATTCTTCACCCCAGGCAGAAATTGCAAATCGATATTTGGTTGATTATTACCCGGTGGCGTTTTTGGAAATACGTATTCACATGTGATATAGTAAAAATGTTCCGACAGATTAAAATCGAATTCCCAGACTGTAATTTGCAACGAATTGTTTGGAGACCTGACCCGAATCAACCTCTAGAAGACTACTGTTTAACCACTGTAACTTATGGGACCAAGCCCGCCCCTTTTTTGGCGATTAGAGTCCTGAAACAGTTAGCTTCAGACGAAAGGGAGAACTTTCCACTAGGTGCAGAAGTATTGATCAACAACACATATGTTGATGATACTTTTGCTGGCGGAGATTCATTGGAAGAAGCAACCCAAGTCCGAGATGAGTTCATTTCTATTTTGGGTTCGGCAGGTATTTCTCTCAGTAAATGGGCTGCTAATGTTGACGAATTAGTCCCTAATGATCCCACTGACAGTGATAGCAAAGACAAATGTTTCAATCTTGAAACATCAGTTTCCACTTTAGGCCTGCATTGGAATCCCGCATCTGACGAGTTTCACTATAAGGTGTCTTTCACTGCTTCTTCTCAACCAACTAAAAGAACAGTTGCTTCTGAGATTGCCAAGCTATTTGATCCGCTCGGCTGGTTAGCTCCATTTATTCTAAAATCAAAATTATTGCTGCAAAATTGTTGGTTAGCCAGCTTAGATTGGGATGAGGTACTGCCAATAAATCTTTCTTCTGAATGGGTCGAGTTTCAACAACAGTTACAACAATTGAACCTTGTTAAAATTCCCCGCTGGATTCAAACTGAAAGCGATAATTCAACTTGGGAACTGCATGGCTTTTCAGACGCCTCTGAAAGAGCCTACTCAGCAGCTCTTTATATTGTCCATCGATCACCTGTAAATGGATCACATTCCAATCTAATCATTGCAAAAACCAAACTAGCACCTGTCAAGGCCATATCTCTTCCGAAATTAGAGCTATGTGGCGCGACACTTCTTGCGAAATTAACATCAGTCGTCACTGAAAAGTTAAAATTCACCAACCCTACGTATTACTGGTCTGATTCCCAAATTGTATTATCATGGCTTCAAGGTCATCCCTCGAGGTGGAAGCCATTTGTAGCTAACAGAGTTAGTGAAATCCACTCTTTGGCGAAAGAAATTCCATGGAGACATGTCCCTTCTAAGGACAATCCTGCGGATTGTGCCACCAGAGGATTTACCGTAGACGAGCTTCACAATTCCACCTTGTGGTGGCATGGTCCTCCTTGGTTACTGAAATCACCCGAAAACTGGCCAGCTTCCACTCAAATCCCTAACCCTAACATTGATTTAGAATCCCGATCAAAACATCTAGAAAAGGTCAACGAAGTTCAAGTCAACGTTACATTGAGCCAAGGGATTCCAGAACTCCTCTCTTATGTCTCGTCATTCACACAGTTAATAAGAGTAACAGCTTACTGTCTTCGTTTTATCAAAGCTCTTCGAGAACCAAACTTTGAAATTGAACCCTATTTAACTGCTGACGAGCTAAGGCGAAGTCAGTTAACCTGGTTGAAAGTCGTACAAAATGATCACTTCTCTGAAACAATTGAGTTGTTGAAAAACAAAAAACCTCTACCTCGAAACAATCCTCTGATCAAGCTGGCCCCCTTTTTGGATGATGATGATATCCTCAGAGTAGGAGGACGACTTCAAAGTTCCTTGCTCTCGTATGATGAAACCCACCCAGTTATTTTACCAAAAAATAACAAAATGTCCGAATTGATCGTTACAAAAGCTCATCATGATACCCTTCATGGAGGTCAGCAACTTACCGTGAGTAGGGTCCTCAAAAACTTTTGGATCATCAGCTCCAAATCCTTGATTAATAAAATCATTCGAAGCTGCGTTAAATGTTTTCGGTTTCGAGCAAATTTTCAAACTCAGCTTATGGGACAACTACCAGCTGAACGGATTACCATCTCAAAACCCTTCACCTTTACTGGACTGGATTATGCTGGACCATTTAATGTCCTGCCTTCGAAGGGAAGAGGTATTCGATCAACAAAAGGATATATATGTTTATTTGTATGTCTTTGTTCTAGAGCAATACACTTGGAACTAGTTTCCAACTATGAAACGAGTGGTTTTCTCGCAGCATTCAAGCGATTCAAGTCCCGTCGAGGCCAATGTAGCAAGATATTCAGTGACAACGCTCGAAATTTCGTTGGTGCAGCCAGAGAATTGCGACAACTTTTCATTGGGGCTTCCAAGACGTTCATCCCGGTTGCTGAATTGCTTGCAAACGAAGGAACCACCTGGACTTTCATCCCTCCACACTCACCTCACTTCGGTGGGATCTGGGAAGCCGGAGTAAAGTCGGTAAAACATCACCTTCGACGAGTTGTTGGAGAGACACGCATGACCTATGAAGAACTGACCACAGTGTTATGTCAAATAGAGGCATGCCTGAATTCCAGACCTCTTTATCCAAATTCCTCAGATGCAACCTCCCTCTCTGCCATCACACCTGGACATCTCCTAACTGGTGGACCTCTTGTTGCCGTTCCTGAACCTCCCTTATTCAATGAAAATCCTACTAATCGATGGACACTGATTACAAAGATGAGGGACGACTTTTGGAATCGCTGGTCTCACGAGTACCTACACCATCTCCAACAACGCTTCAAATGGTTGGTAGAAACTAATGCAGTAAAGGTTGGTGATGTTGTACTACTCAAGGAGGACAACCTTCCCCCCACAAAATGGGTTCTCGCTAAGATTCAACAACTGCATCCAGGAGCAGATGGCCTTGCGAGAGTTGTTACCATTAAAACAAACACCACTACATTGAAGCGATCTTTTTCTAAACTTGCTGTCCTCCCAATTCGTGAGACTAATAACGAAAACTAAATAAGAAAATGTTTCATAACAATGATCGAGTTTCTTTTTTTCAAATAAGTTTATCTACGACATGTTACTGCGTTTTCCTTTAACTCAAACGCACCCGGGCAGAATGTTTAGAATTTCAATTATTTTTTATTTGTATTAAAAATTTACATTAAAAACGAAATAATTCTATTTGCTCCTGAATTAAGATTATCACAAGTACACACTTGTATCGTGTTCCCTTTCAAGATTCAGGACCTGCGCAATGATAAAAATAAAAGGATAGAGATTTCCGCTTTACTGCTTTGAGAGAACATGTGCTTGAGTTACAAATTATAAAATCCGTGAATAAATATTCAATCAATTTACCTCGGTAAACTAAATCTTCCTTGTTAATAATTACAATAAATTCTTTGTTAAAGTGTAAATATATTTTAGTGAAAATTAAGTTAAAATAAACGAAGTTATATATATTGTGAAAATTGACTTGTTTTCATTTCCCATGTGCTCAACACTTTCAAATATTAAAACTTACCGAAATTTACAATTGACAAAATATACCTTTTAACAAAAAATCAATACAAAATCTCTTGAAAGTCCACCCTCAAGAATGTTTTTACGAAAAAATAAAAAGGTCTTCTTGGTTCCTCCCGAAATCCAAAAAAAATTAAGGAAATATACTATCTAACATTACATCAATCAAAAAAGCAAAACGATAAAATTAATCGCACTAAAAAAATAATGATTACAACACAAATAATATTTTCAACAAAATACGGAGTATGTAGAATTATTCTCACGATGACAAAATTTCAAAGTGTTTAATTATCGAAAAGAAAACATGTTGATAATCGTTTAAAAAAAACAACAATAAAAGATATTGTATCCTTCGAAACGGTTAAAAGGTCAAAAATATAATCAATTTTTGAATTTATGTTAGATAAAAGAAATTAATTTCAAAATTTCTCAAGTTCAATATTTCAAAATTAATATTAATAATATTTTAAATTAATTTCAAAATTTCTCAAGTTAAACGTTTTAAAATATTATCTAAAAAGAAACACGTCCAAAACGCTGCGAAGCTTCCTCCGAAGGCAAAGTTGCTCATGATAAGGAAGGTGAACTCTAAACTGTTCTCTTGTTGAACAGAGTCGCATCAAGGTGAATTCTCGAAATATTCTCCAATGTGCGATGTTGTAACCTTGGCATCACTGGCTGGTGTAAAGGGACAAACTTCAGGATATGCTCAGAAACGGTTCATAAAGGGAGAGAATAATCAGGGAGACGGAAAACTGTTAAATTGCAACCAGGTAGAAAAAATGAAACATACCTGTTGCATGGGCTCAGAGTAGAGTATGTCCATGCGCCGTTTTCCAAAGCATAAAAAATAATTGCAGGTTCGCCAACCTCGCTCCAAAACAGAAATCATGAGTCCATGTGATAGAAAATGTTCCTTCAAAGACTCGAGGAAAAAGATTCCCAGCACAGCATTACATCACAAAATTGATAAAAAAACAGTAGATATTGAAGAGGTAGTTAAAAATATCCAAAAATTCGTCTAAAAAAAAATTTTGAAAAAGTTGTTATCATCGACAAAATTAAAAATCCAATTTCCTTCTAGTTTGGTAAAAACTTGGATTAAGAAGAGCGGTTTTTTCCGGTAAATAAGATGGCGATAGCGTCTCTCGCTACGTGTTTGATAAGAAAAATTTTAGAAACACACAATTTCCCGAATCAAGCCATAAGCACAACTGGGTCGGGTGCGGGAGACGACTGCGGGATATGGGCTTCCTAACCTCAAAATGTATGTAAATGTTAATTATCCCGTAACCATCTTCCGAACTCGACTCAGTTGTGCTTAGGCCTTCACGTCGGGGTCACCAATGTGGGAATTTAAAGGTGTAAGGATTAAATAATTATTCCCACTTGTGTGTTCAATAAAACTGACTCCATTCCCACATAGCACAATAGTATGAGGTAAGATTATGTTGAGTACTAATCGTAAGGCTCATAAGGTTACACGATATTGCTGTGGTAGACCTGAGGTGAACTAAAAACTTCCGCCATGGAGGTAAGGTTACATGTTAGGGTGTGGTGACTATATATGATAAGGCCATGGTAACCTTACACATTAAGGTTGAGGTAACGTTACATGTTAAGGTTGAGGTAAGGTTACATGTTAAGGTTGAGGTAACGTTACATGTTAAGGTTGAGGTAAGGTTACATGTCAAGGCTGAGGTAAGGTAATTATTAAGTTGTAAGGTTGAGGTAAGGTTGTGATAAGTTTACCAGTTATAGAAAATATTGAAAAAATAATTAATAAATAAATATTCAATTAAAATGTTAAGTTTGTTGCTCTTCTCTATTTTGGAAACCTGACATGAAGCAGAAAATTTTGAAAACAAATTTGGGGGGACTGGGATTCGAACCCGGGATCGGCGCGCATAAACCTAACATTCTAACTAACTGAGCTAAGTAGAGAACTGGCAGAAGGAAAATTAATGTTGCCTTTAAGGAGTTAATCATCTTCTTGGTTCACCTTAAAGGCAACATTAATTTTCCTTCTGCCAGTTCTCTACTTAGCTCAGTTAGTTAGAATGATAGGTTTATGCGCGTCGATCTCGGGTTCGAATCCCAGTCCCCCCAAATTTGTTTTCAAAATTTTCTGCTTCATGTCAGGTTTCCAAAATAGAGAAGAGCAACAAACTTAACATTTTAATTGAATATTTATTTATTAATTATTTTTTCAATATTTTCTATAACTGGTAAACTTATCACAACCTTACCTCAACCTTACAACTTAATAATTACCTTACCTCAGCCTTGACATGTAACCTTACCTCAACCTTAACATGTAACGTTACCTCAACCTTAACATGTAACCTTACCTCAACCTTAACATGTAACGTTACCTCAACCTTAACGTGTAAGGTTACCATGGCCTTATCATATATAGTCACCACACCCTAACATGTAACCTTACCTCCATGGCGGAAGTTTTTAGTTCACCTTAGGTCTACCACAGCAATATCGTGTAACCTTATGTGCCTTACGATTAGTATTCAACATAACCTTACCTCATACTATTGTGCTATGTGGGTTGATATAACTTAATTACCCCTTTATTGTACTTAGATAGAAAATATAATTATAGCCAAAAGGCTGGACGAGATATAAGTCGTCTTAAGGGGTTACGTACAGTTAGAACTTCAAAAAATGCTGTTTTTTTAGGAATTTTTTGTGGCCACACATTAAAATAATTAATAACAAATCTTTTTCCATATAAAATATATATATTTTAAGAAAATATTCTGCAATTATAGTAGGTAAATATTAAGGAACGTGTGAATGATACAACAATTGCATGAACTCCTTAAATAAAAATGGTTTCGTGGTGATCACGCTATCTCTTGACTAAATTTGAGAAATTTTGATTTTTCTCAAAATGGCGGATGTGGAATGTCAAAAATTATATTTTGACCAAAATTTTACTCATATATTCGGCTGTAAAAAAGTCATTGTAAAAAAAATCCTTTGTCCAAGTACCGGACAATTATATAACAAATAAGTGGTAAAAATTTCAAACCGATCGGTAAAGCCTTTCTCAAGTTAAGGCCAACGCAGAATAGATCTGTAACCGGAACCGCAATCGTAACCGTAAGCGTAAGAATGAGTTAGAGAAGGATAAACAATATATCTATCCTTCTTTAACTCATTCTTACGATTACGCTTACGATTGCGGTTCCGGTTACAGATCTATTCTGCGTTGGCCTTTACAGTGATCACTGACTCCCAAAACATGTTATATTTTTAGAAAATGCAATTAAAAAACAAATTTTTGAAAATTCTAACTATTTTGAGACACAGAGTATATTTCCCACAGAGGGTCTTGCTCTCTCTCTTTTTCTTTCTTTTCTTCTTAAATGACTTTTGGCATAGCCAAACAAGTGGCGACATCCAACAACAAGTTGCGGTACTACATATCTTATATCTTCGAACAAGTTTATTTCATATAATTAAGATCGAACTTCACTAGGAGTTCGTTTAATCTTTAATGGTATTTGTGTCGTGCCTTGTTGAATACGAATTCTACGACTTTTAAAAAATTCGTCTGCCATATTGGATCCGACATTTTTAATTTTGCAAAAATTGACTTCAGATTCGTAATCAGCGACCTCAAAAACCCCTGAGTAACAACTTTCAAGTACGATTTTTGAAAAATAGGTCCGCCATTTTGTATTTTGCAAAACTAACTTCAGATTCTTAATCAGCGACCCAAATAACCCCTTAATAGTAAGTTTCGCAAAGATTGGCAAAAATTTATACTTTTCGGACATATTGAATCCGCCATTTTTACAAATTTCGCAAATGTCAATAAGAGTAAATAAAGTACGAATAAAGAGGTATGTTTTGTGCCAAAAATAAACTATTTCTACTATGAAATTAATATTTTTTAGCAAAAAGTAGAATTTTTGTATGCTCCTTGACTGCTTTAACGACGCGTCCAAGTCTACCATCCATAAAAAGGCCACGATGCAAATAAAAGTAGAGGTTCCAAGCTTTAATTTAAGCCCTATTTTGATTTTTTTGTTAAAATTAAAAATGGACAGATAGGGGGTAAAATTTGACAAAGAAGGCCCTATTTATTTAGTATTTATCGTTTATAAAATTAGTGTGGCGTTAATTTATCGATAGGTGGAAATTGGGTCTGAATTTTCGTTGGATCTAAGAGACGGAGAATCGGAAGGACGCTAATTATAAAAAACCAGTGCGAGTGAATCACAATACCATTGAAAAAATCTTTGATTTTGGGATTACCCATAAGGAGGAAACAAAAATACCTTAGATAAATCTAGCTGTCCAAAATCAAGCCATTCTCCAAATCCATGATTTAACGACACCAACAACGCTTCCCTTTTCTAAGCGATGAGTATTTATATGTATTTCATTGACTAAAACGTCTTATTTTCGAATTTCATTTACTATTTACAATTTTTCTTCTGTTTTATAAATTTTCTATGTTA